GCCCTACTAAGAAGCTCATTAACACCAAAGGGGATGAGGATCTAAGGCTAGTAAAGATGCACGCAAACCTTAAACCGTAAACCCAAAACCCTAAGCCCTACCCGAGCCCATTCTCAAGTCAAGCTGCCACTGCCGCCGGTGCCACTGCCGGTGCCGGAGGATGTGCCGGTGCCTATGCCAAACTAATTTTCTTCTACCCGCCCTACGTTAAACCCAAAAGGGCTGAGGGTCTAAGGCCAGCAATGTTACGCACGACAAACCCTAAACCCGAAACTCCAAACCCTACCCAAGCAAAAGGCATCTCAAGTCAAGCTGCCACTGCCACCGGTGCCAGTGCCGGTGCCAGAGGATGTGCCGGTGCCTGGACGCAGCTTGGGATTTGGGTTCAGGGTCTTTACGGGCTCTTTATACGGTTTCAGAATTGGTGGGCTTTACGGGGTTGTAAGAAGCTTTGCCAGCCTAGGTAAAGCCTTCCTTAACTCGGTCTGTTTGGGGTCTATGTCAGGATGTATCGTTGACGCACGCCAATCCAAGATTAGGGGTTGTGACCTACTGAATTTCTTTTACCCGCTACTGAGAAGCTCATGAAACCCACAGAGCCGAGGATCTAAGGCTAGTAAATAGACACAGACATCTCCACAAACCCTAAACCCTACGCCCCAACCCTGAACCCTACCCGAGGCAATTCTGACGTCGAGTCAAGCTGCCACTGCCACCGGTGCCACTGCCGGTGCCAGAGGATGTGCCGGTGCCTTGATGCAGCTTGGGTTTTTACGGGCTTCCTTTTGGGTTTAGGACCTAAATTGGTGGGCTGTACAGGGTTGCAAGAAGATTTGCCAGGCTTAGTAGACCCTTCCTTAACTCGGTTTGGGGTTATTTTGACCATGCCAAACCAAGATTGGGCTTGCAACCCACTAAACTTCTTGGGCCCCCCCCCACTAAGAAGCTTATTAAACTCCCAGAAAGCTGAGGATCTAAGGCTGTAAAGACACAGACATGTCCACAGACTCTAAACCCTAAACCTTAAACCCCAAACCCTGAACCCTAAACCCTAAACCCTACCCGATGCAATTCCCAGGTCTAGCTGCCACTACCTCTTACGGGGCGCACTATAGGGTTCAGGGGTCAGTGTTCGCGGTTCAGGGTTTAGGGTGCAGGGGTCCTCTGGCTTAGGGGCCCAAATTGGTGGGGCATTACGGGCAAGAAGCATTTCCAGGCTTAGCCGACCCTTCCTTCACTCGGTTTAAGGTTTGGGAGTATGCCAGGACTTATCTTTGTTCCATGCCAAACCAAGATTGGAGTTGCAACCCACTAAAGCTCTTTTACTCGCCCTATTAAGAAGCTCATTAACACCAAAGGAGATGAGGATCTAAGGCTAGTAAAGATACACACAAACCTTAAACCGTAAACCCAAAACCCTAAGCCCTACCCGAGCCCATTCTCAAGTCAAGCTGCCACTGCCGCCGGTGCCACTGCCGGTGCCGGAGGATGTGCCGGTGCCTATGCCAAACTAAATTTTCTTCTACCCGCCCTACGTTAAACCCAAAAGGGCTGAGGGTCTAAGGCCAGCAATGTTACGCACGACAAACCCTAAACCCGAAACTCCAAACCCTACCCAAGCAAAAGGCATCTCAAGTCAAGCTGCCACTGCCACCGGTGCCAGTGCCGGTGCCAGAGGATGTGCCGGTGCCTGGACGCATCAGGGTTCAGGGCTAGGGGTCTAAATTGATGGGCTTTACGGGGTTGTAAGAAGCTGTTCCAGGCTTAGTAGACCCTTCCTGAACTCGGTTTGGGGTTTGGGGTTTGGGGTTTGGGGTTTGGGGTTTGGGGTTTGGGGTTTGGGGTTTGGGGTTTGGGGTTTGGGGTTTAGGGTTTAGGGTTTAGGATCTTTGACCCATCCCAAACCAAGGCTACGGGTTGCAACCCACTCAATACTAATTTCTGTTACCCGCCTTACTAAGAGTCTCATCAAGCAAAAAAAACCTTAAACCCTAAACCCTAAACCCTAAACCCTAAAAACTAAGAATATAAGGCAGTTAAGAAACACAGGCATCCTGACAAGCTTTAACCCTAAACCCTGAACCCTAAACCCTAAACCCTAAACCCTAAACCCTAAACCCTAAACCCTAAACCCTAAACCCTACCAGCCCACAAACATCCTGTCCCAGGCCTCCCCCCGTTCCCGATGGGACGCCAGTGGAAGTGCCCGTTCCCGATCCTTGGATTCGTGGTATCGACTGGGGATGGTTTTCATGCCTTTAGGGTTTAGGGTTAGGGTTTGTTTAGGGTTTAGGGTGTAGGGTTTAGGGTCTAGGGTTTAGGGTTTAGGTTCAGCGTTTAGCGTTTAGGGTTTAGGGATGTAGATAGGGTTTAAGGCTTATAGGGATTAGGGTGTGTAGGGTTGAGGTTAAGGGCTTACAGGCTGCTATTCCATAGGCTTTAGGCTCCTAGTGATTAAGTTGAGGGCTTATCTCTGCCTAAACCCTAAACCCTAAACCCTAAACCCTAAACCCTAAACCCTAAACCCTAAACCCTAAACCCTAAACCCTAAACCCTAAACCCTAAACCCTAAACCCTAAACCCTAAACCCTAAACCCTAAACCCTAAACCCGAAACCCGAAACCCTAACCCTGAACCCCCAACCCATACCCTAAAAGCAGACGCATTGACAGGCGTCTGGTTTGCACAACACGTTCGGCACCCGTCATCGCACCACTGGTGACATGAGAGGGACCGAAGAAGGAAAAGCCTACTGCAACGGCGGTTTGGGGTTTAGGGTTTAGGGTTTAGGGCTTAGGGTTTAGGGCTTAGGGCGACAATGGGCGACATGCCCCTCCCCTGATGTAGCATTCAGGTATTGCTCTCACCGTAAGCCCCAGAACGGCACAAGCACTCGAAAGCAACAACATAGTCAGATCATCCGGAGCCCTAAACTCTCTAAACCCTGAACCCTAAACCCTAAACCTCTCATACCCCTGCTCTGCCTTTGTTTGCTGCTTCGCCCATCTTACCACTCACCAAAAAGCAACCTCCTCCCCATGCCCGCCAAGCTGCCCGTGGGGGGTCCCGATCCTGCGTCCAACCCTAATCCCTAAACCCTAAACCCCTAAACCCCTAAACCCATCTAAACCCTAAACCCTAAATCAGCAGGGTCGTGACTTCTCTGGCAACGTTCAGATGCACCGTGCGCGATGCACTCTCTCTGGTAGCATGGCGCTGGAAATCTGAAAAGACAGAACTGCTGCCCGAGAAATCACCAAAAAATCAGGCGATTGAACAGAGCTTCTTTCGGATGCCGGTGCTTCCAGACTGTCATAAGCCTAAGAAGCCCAAGATTCTATTCTAGGGATTCTACCTGTGACCCTTAGGGTTGTACCCTGGGGTTTTGGGGACCTTTCTAAAGATCCCTAAGGTAGAAAAAGGGCCATATTCGGAATATGTTAAGGGGAATATGTAGGGGTACAGCCTCAGCGGTACGCGTCTTCATCCTAGGCTGCCCTGCAACCAAGGCTTAAAAGGGTGCTCTTTTTTGCTTAAAGGGGTTTATAAGGGAACCTAAACCCCCTAAAAAGGGAATAAGGGTACTACTGGGCAGCCTAGCATCCATTGAAAGATGGAGCTCTGGCACAACTGATTGGCTAGCTGGCTCTTATCTGTTCCCTTACTTGGAGGTGCAGGGTACGTGCAACCCCTAAACCCTAAACCCTGAACCCTGAACCCTGAACCCTAAACCCTAAACCCTAAACCCTAAACCCTAAACCCGAAACCCGAAACCCGAAACCCTAAACCCTAAACCCTAAACCCTAAACCCTAAACCCTAAACCCTAAACCCTAAACCCTAAACCCTAAACCCTAAACCCTAAACCCTAAACCCTAAACCCTAAACCCTAAACCCTAAACCCTAAACCCTAAACCCTAACCTTAAACCCTAAACCCTAAACCCTAAACCCTAAACCCTAAACCCTAAACCCTAAACCCTAAACCCTAAACCCTAACCCTAAACCCTAAACCCTAAACCTGGACCCTAAACCTAACCCTAAACCCATACATGCACTTATACGCCTCCTAAGTCCTCCAAATAAGCCATGAGTAGACTTATTCTTGGGGCTAGAAGTACCCATGAACCCCCCTGCCTTGATGCCCATTGTGCTAAACCCGAAACCCGAAACCCTAAACCCTAAACCCTAAGTGCAGCTCTGCTTGGCTCTGCGCAAAGCACTTCGAAACAACCCGGTCTCCCAAGCATGGCATCCTAATTCCTATAATCACGTACCCCTTTTTGTTTGAGGCTTAGCGTTTAGGGTTCAGGGTTTTTAGGGTTTAGGGTGGAGGGTTTAGGAAGGGAATCTGCTCCCCCAAGAAAGCGGGAAGGAAGGACCTACTCTCGACCCTGAGGAGAACCCAACTGCTGCCAGGAACCCCTACATAAACTTATAGGGTCCTTATACGGGAGGGGGGGTTCATGGGGGGGGCAGGTACCTAGGGAACCTTAGGGAAGCTTAGGGAGCCTTAGGGAGTAGTAGTGGAGCATACCCCCCTTGAATCCCCCTCCCTTAATCGGGGATGGGCAAAAGGTACCCACGAACAAGGTCCCCTTCATCAATCCCGCAGATGCATCGAGCCCTGAAGAGGCCTGGGGCTCCCAGGTCCTGTTCCAGAACTTTCGGGTCGTGGTGCGCAGCAACCTATGACCCTCGTTTGCCTTTTTTCTCCCTGTGAGCGGGTTTTTTACAAGGCTTGAGATGTTTCGAGGATTAGGGCTATGGATGGGATTGGAGTCTACGCCCTTGCACTCTTGGATTGTCTTCTGGGTCCGACACCCTAAAACAATCCAAACCTCACAGAAACAAACGAAAACCCCATTATGGTTTGGTGAGTCTTCCTTCCAGGCGGGCTTCAGCAGGTTCAGGGCTTGAGGTTTCGGGCTGTTTTGGAGCTGAGTCCAAGTTGAAGGCATCCCTGACACTAGGGGCCAGCCTGGACCTCTTTGCTTTTTTGCCTCAACGGAAGTCGAACGGACACTGCACTCCAACTCGTTCCCTTTCCATGCGCCAGGCATGAAGCAAGCACAGCTTCATGGCGCCGTAATCGTCCGTGAAAGAGCCGGTGCCATAGCTCCAGCATTTCTCGGGCCAGAACCTGCTTCGAACGCGCCATCTGTTCTGGCGCCTGGCATCTTTGTAGATGCTGCAAAACTTGGGAAGCCACTTCGAGGCTTCTTCCTGACTGTACCCAGTCATCAGGGCGGGCACCAGGGATATTGATGGCTCAGAGAGGGTTGCAGGGACATCCGGCTGCAATTGCGCGAGTTTGTCCAACCGGGCTTGCTCTTGCTTCTGAGCTGCCTCACGCCGTGACTTCAATTTCTCGAACTGTCTGCGGACATCGTCATCGTCCTCATCATCAAAAAGGTTCGGGTCAAATGCCTGAGTATCTGCCAGCAGCTTTGCGTTCATCACCGTTTTTCCTCTGGCGACAAGCGCCGCCTCTACCATCTGATTTGTCGCCTCCGGGCCGACAGCATGCTTCACCAATGCTGCGACCAAAGGAACTTCTGTGCTTGGCTTCTTTCCTGGAACCCAGGGAACTTTCAGATGAGCAAAGAGTTTCTTCAAAAACGTTACGGTCATGTTGCGAAAGCCGCCCCAAGCAGCGTGCTTGAGCAAGGTCATGCCCTCTTTGTTGTGCACCAGCCCTGCGCCGGGCCTTGGTTCTCGGTGATGGGCGATGCTGCGACATCGCATCGCTCATGTCGCCCCAAAAAGCTCCGCCCCATCTATTTGCGTACACACCATCCCATTTATTTGCTTACGCACCATGATCCCCCCCCCTCCCCCTCCATGACACATGCCATCCCCGCTGCCGCTGCGCCTTGTGAATCATTGCGCACCTCCTCCCGCCCCACCACCCACCACCCCCAACCACCCCCCCTGTCCCACCGCACCCAACAACAAAGCACTGTACGCATTGGCTGTCGACAGCAGACTCTACTATACGAATACAACTACCGAACCAACTACACAGCAGCTGGGAGCTGGGAGCTGAGAGCTGGGAGCAGAGAGCAGAGAGCAGAGAGCTGGGAGCTGGGAGCTGGGAGCTGGGAGCTGGGAGCTGAGAGCTGGGAGCTGGGAGCAGAGAGCAGAGAGCTGGGCTTGGAGAGCTGGGAGTTGGGAGTTGGGAGCTGGGAGCTGGGAGCTGAGAGGAGAGCTGAGAGCTGGGAGCTGAGAGCTGGGAGCTGGGAGCTGAGAGCTGGGACCAGAGAGCTGAGAGCTGGGAGCTGGGGGCTGGGAGCTGAGAGCTTTGAGCGGAGAGCTGGGAGCAGAGAGCTGAGAGCTGGGAGCTGGGAGCTGAGAGCTGGGAGCTGGGACCAGAGAGCTGAGAGCTGGGAGCTGAGAGCTGGGAGCTTTGAGCTAAGAGCTGGGAGCAGAGAGCTGGGAGCTGGGAGCTGGGGGCTGGGAGCTGGGAGCAGAGAGCTGAGCCTGGGAGCTGAGAGCTGGGAGCTGGGAGCTGGGAGCTGGGAGCTGAGAGCTGGGAGCAGAGAGCTGAGAGCTGGGAGCTGGGAGCTGAGAGCTGGGAGCAGAGAGCTGAGAGCTAAGGGCTGGGAGCTGGGAGGCTTGCGACAGTGGAGTCTACGACAACAACTACCACGAAACTGCATGTGAAGCCCAAGCTTCCGAGATGGCCCAGGGCATACCGGCTCAACTCCCAACACACGCCAATCCTCCAGGCGCTCCACAACCGCAAACGAGACAGACTCCAAGGCATCTGGAGCGAGAACGATGTCTGCGCCAGACTTCGATGTCGAAGGTGGGGCACGCCAAAGCAAAGCACCGTACTGGCTGGTGTGAAAAACCAACTTTGCTCTGGCGCCCTTCTGCAAAACCAAGGTTCCAGGCGTTAAAAGCAAAGAGAGGTATGCGTGCTGCATTCTGGACCAATCACCACTCAAGGCCTGCGCAAAAAAACCCAAAACTCATGAAACAACAAACCTTCGACTGCGTAAGTAAATCTGCAAAGCCGCACTTGGCCTGAAGAAGTTGCCACATTAATGCAGCTGTCTTGATATCAGCAGGCTCAAAAGGCGGCCAATCGTGAACCTGCTGAATTTGCTGCTCTGTCAAAGAGCACGGACCTGAGCATGTCTGGGGCGGGGGTAATCGAAATCACAGCCATAAAACAACGGGATTCGAAAAAAAAAAAAACTGCATCGAACCTAATCCTGCCCCAAACCTGAATCAAGGTGCTTCGTTTTCCAAAGAAGAGTCCTTCGGGAGCTAGTTTTGGCGGCGCCGCCGCCCGGGCGGCGGGTGTGATCGGGACCGACTTGCGCTCGAACTCCGCAGCAGTCCGCCCTCCAATGGATGCCAAATTCCACCTGGACCGTTTCAATGCAACCTCTGCTCACAATGGCTAACTTTTCGATAGCTCCGTAGTTCCTCAACACAATGCTACCAGGCCACAGCGTTTGCGGCGCCTGCATTTTCGCGCGGTTTAGGGATGCCTGCTGACGGGAATCGTTGAAGAGCTGTTCCACCAGAAGCGTGGAGAGGTGAGCGTGGGAGTACTCGCGCAACTTCCCGAGCAGCGGCTGCGGCACCTGGCCACGCAAACTCGCTACACGGGCTCAAACCGGGGGAGTACTTAGAATAGCATTCTGCTTCTGAATAAAACAGCCTATATTTGAATCGTTTTTTCTGCGTGCTAATTCTAGCATTATCGAAAAACATTCAAAGTCTGGAGTTGTAAGCACGGAGCTCCCCCTTTCTTCACCGCCAGACAGATCTGCTACATGCTTAGGTTGATTGACCTTTTAACAACCCGCATAACCATGTAAAGCTCTAATCTAGCTTGACACCCAACCTATTGAAAACACTTTTGAAACCAACTAACTTTGGTAAGTTGTTGCAGGACGTCATGAAGCTTGGCAATCCTTGTAACTGCGTCTGAAAGATTCTAAAGAGTTCTATCTAGTTTCAAAGAAATTGCACAATGCGATTAATTACTTTGAAGCTTCACAGGTAAGCGTTACTATCCGCGCAGGTCTTCTAGTCCAAGTAGACCGGCCTTCTTCCAGTCCGCTTCGAGAAGTTGCAGAAGAGCAACCCGGGAAAAGTGTTCACGAGGAACCTTCATGCGTGCGTGCGTGCGTGCGCCTGCTACCTACTACGCACTCAGCAAAGAAATGATGGCAGCCTGAGCCTTGAGCAAGCCTCCCCCCCCCACCCACCCGCCCACCCCCGCTCAAGCGTTGACTGCAAATTGGACCACGGGACAAGTAGATTGCGGCAAAACGTCTGTGCCTCGGTGGAAGCACAAGCCTCCAGAACCTCCAATGAGTTCCACGCTTGTTTCAACTTGTTCAGCCACTTGTCAACCACGGCTGCATCTGCACTGGTCAAGGCTATCAAAGACAAAGGCGGCATCTGGTACCTCCGCGCAAGAATGGGCAAGCAACGCCGCTATATACTGCTGCACAGTGAACAGCGCAAATTCAAAACATGTGCAACCCAGGCTGCACCAACGCACAATTTCAAAACACCATACCCTGTCAACAACCCCCGGATTTCTGCTTCAGTCTTCGGGCTGCACTCTGCCTACAGCACCTGTAAGAAATGGGATAAGAACAACTTGTTCCGGGCTACACCATGGCTGTGCAAAGCAGATTTCCAACCAAGCGGAGAGCCATGTGGAACATGCTACTGAGAACGACTCGGTCATCTTCTGGTCGCCCTGCGTCGAGCTGCTCCCTCGAAAGACCCATGATCTCCGCAAAGCGCTTGCTGAACAGGTGATCCAGGAGTTGCTTGCAAACCAGCATGAGCGAGCCTTCCGCCAAGCCCACATGGAAGTCTTGAACGCCCATGATGGTTTTCACTTTGGCTATGCCATCTCCGAAGAACGCGTGGAGAGGGTCGGTCAGGTGGATCATGGAAACCCAAAGCCGCACGTTCAGCCTCCGCGTCAGCAGCTTGCAGCAGTACTCCAGCTGGGTCCTTGTTTGCCCTCTTCTTTTCTCAGCTTCTCTCTTGCAGTCGGCGACCGAATTGCGCGATGATGATGGCCCTTGTGCTGCACCTCGCGCCTGTGACGATGCTTCTTCGTCAGGCTGAACAAGATTTGCCTCCGCAAGTTCACCAGGAAAGGGCGCCTGCAAGTCATCTTCCATGCAGCCATCCCGCCGGTCTTGTTCGCAAAACAGCGGACATTGCCCTTCCGACCACCACCGGCGCCGAAAGCCCAGCCACAACAAAATCAACAAGTCCAACTGCAGGTGCGGCAAGATGCTTTGGGACTGCTGCTCAAAAGACCACCAACGGGACAGCTTGTTGCAGTCACTACCACAGCTCCTCAGGGCACATTGTTTGCGGCACCAATCCCATGTAAAGCGCATGTGCTCGGCGGTACCCACATTGGCCATCTCACGCAGCTCGCAGCTGGAGGCAACAATGTCATCGTAGAGCAGCCTGGCATACTTGCGCATGTCAACTTAACCAAAAATGCCATTCACAACGGCATCCATGTCTTGCTTTCGATGCTCGAATTTGCAGCTTAGATGCTGGAAAAGGACATTGTCAGGGCTGCAGGATCTGAAGTACTCATTCGCGGCTGCTTTCAGCACTTCATGGTTAGATTGCCCTTTGTATGGGCCATGCCGGAGCTTCACCATGTGTCTGTATTCCATCTTGATGATCAGGAGGCCCGATTCTTGCTGGGCATCGGTCAAGTCGTTGATTACCCTGTGAAAGAAATCCCACCCAAAAGTGCAATTCAGGCCCAAGCCATGACAGAGCCAGTTCAAAGCCTGAAACCCGCCCGGCCCCTGATCAGCTGCGAGGTGTAACACCGGGCTGTGCGGCTGTCCATCGACGAGCTTCACCGGAAGTTCAAAGCGGTATTTGCCATCACCATGGTCTACGCAGGCACGCCTGTTTGCAAGAAAAAGACTTAATCCATGTTGACTCCGCGCGCTTCGTTTGCGGCGCGCGCTTCGTTTGCGGCATGCAACATCGGGCAAAATTGTTTGAACATGAAATTTGAAAGCCCTACCGTATTGCGGTCCATATCTAGCTGAAGCAAAAGCGCGTTGCAGCCAATATCTAGCTGAAGCTGGCGAACACCAAATTAAGGGTCGATGTTGGGATGCTTGCGGCATACGGCCGGAATGATGTTTCAAAATCTGCCGTGCCTTCGTTGCTCTTGCTCTCCAGGTGGCACCATGTCCACAAAATATCTAGTTTCATTGGGCAACAATGCTCGTACCTGACTTTCCGGAAGAAATGCAGCCAAACCCCAGCCGAAGGACTTCAGCAGGGCATTGTCCAACAGCCGAATAACTTTCTCTGCCACAACACGAAGTGCGGCATCATGCCCAGGCCCGAGTTCCTCGGCACGCCATGTGCTCTGGTCGCTTTCATCTGAATCCTTGTTTAGATAAAATTCGCCTCGGCTTCCTGCCACAAGGCACCGAGAACAAGATTGCGAGAAAGGCACCCTTTCCTGGCAACTCCTGCGCCAGACCCCCCTTCCCTCCTAGGACCCCCCACCTCCCCGATCCCAAAACCCGGCTCCTAGCACCTTCTTGGAGAGACTGAACCTCCCCACTCTTGCCTACGACCCCGGCCCCTTCTCTGGTCTCGCGAACCCTAAACCCTAAACCCCAAACCCTAACCTAAAACACCCTACCCTGGGCCGGCCCGGCTGCCGAAAACCGGGCACGCAAGCGTTTACAATACATCAAGCAGGTCACTTCCAATTTGCTCTTCTCGCTCTCAAGCAAGTCATTCATCAAGATGTTCCGTAGTCTTAGGTTCTCCAGCGCTTGCTCTGGAACATCCGATTTGTCGGGTTGGCCGCGCTTTTCGTGGTACACTTTCAGCACCTGCACACGCTGTCACGCAGTGCAAATTCGCAGCAACAATGAGCAAACAAATGTGGCTTTCAGTGGCCAGCTGGCAGGGCATGGCAAGCGGATTCTGCTGACGCACTTTTCCCATTCTTTCAGCAAGCGCTCGCGGGAAAGGCGACTCCTGGGTTTGCCAGTCAGTATTGTGTCTGCCGTGCGCATCTTCCCTTTACGAGATTTTGGGGTTTCGGGTTGCGGGTGTAGGGGGTTTAAGGAGCAGCGAGCCATGACACATCATTCAATAATCGTAGCGCCGTCCGTGGAAAAAGCCTTGGCTAGGCCTCTGGGAGAATATCTAAACGCTAAGCCCTGAACCCTAAACCCTGAACCCTGACCCTAAACCCTAAACCCTAAATCCTAAACCCAACCCCCCCCCCAAAGAAAAAATAATGCCAGACCATCCTACAGAGCTGAACCCTTCTGTCCTTATAGGGTCCTTTCAGGGGCTTTTGAGCGGAGATGTGCCTGGGAGAAGCTGAGTGGCTTTAGCATGCTTCAGCACGCAGGTGCCAGTCCTGCAAAACACCCCCCCCTCCCCCCCCCCTCCCTTTCTTCTTCCGCGCCCCTGCCCCTCCCCCCCTTCCTGCCCCCTCCCTCCCCCCCTTTTCCCCCTCTCGGTGCGTAACCAAACAGCCCCCCACAAGAAGAAGAGCAGCGTAACCAAACCCCCCCAACAGCAGTAGAGGAGCGCAGGGGTTGGAAGGGTTTAGAGCCTAAACCCTAAATTTAAGCCCTAAACCCCAGGGTTTAAGCCCCATAAGCCCTAAATTTTAGGGTTTAAGCACAAACCCCAGGGTTTAAGCCCTAAACCCTAGGGTGTAAGCCCGAAACCCTGGTTTAAGCCCTAAACCCTAGGGTTTAAGCCCTAAACCCTAGGGTTTAAGCCCTAAACCCTAGGGTTTAAGCCCTAAACCCTAGGGTTTAAGCCTTAAACCCTAGGGTTTAAGCCCTAAACCCTAGGGTTTAAGCCCTAAACCCTAGGGTTTAAGCCCTAAACCCTAGGGTTTAAGCCCTAAACCCTAGGGTTTAAGCCCTAAACCCTAAATTTA